GTACGCCCGCATCCACTACCGCCCATCATCACACCCGCTATCACCCATCATCACACCCACTATCACCATCAACACACACCCCCTAACCTAACCATTGTGTCGTGTAGAATTAAACTATCAAGATTTTGCAGTTCGTTGTACTGTCTCGCTTCACTACTCTCTCGTTCGTCTCCCCGTGGCTGTGTGAGTGAGATGGTGAGTGTCTGTCTGTGTGTTGGTGAGTGTCTGTGTGTGTATGTGTGTGTGTTGGTGAGTGTCTGTCTGTGTGTTGGTGAGTGTCTGTGTGTGTGTGTGTGTGTGTATGTGTGTGTTGGTGAGTGTCTGTCTTGTGTGTTGGTGAGTGTCTGTGTGTGTGTGTGTATGTGTGTGTTGGTGAGTGTCTGTCTGTGTGTTGGTGAGTGTCTGTGTGTGTGTGTGTGTGTTGGTGAGTGTCTGTCTGTGTGTATGTGTGTTGGGCAGGAGAGTGTCTTGTGTGTGTGTGTGTGTGTGTGTGTGTGTGTGTGGTGTGCTGTGTGTGTGTGTGTGTGTAATATATAATAATTAACGGTTTATTGAGAGCTTGGCAGCCAGAAGGCTGAAAATATACAGTTACATATTTGGGAATGGGTTAGAATTACAAATAATATACAAGTGACAAAATAAGACATATAATAACTTAGATAGGATCAGCTCAAACTAGTTCATTTCAACATAGTGACAGTGTAGGAGCAGTGTTTACTGGGGTAATACACTGATTTATTACATGTTATTGATAATTTTTACAATGGATTGGACTGGGCTGTTGTTCTTATAGCGATCAGTTCGGCACGTGTTGTGTGTGTGTGTGTCTGTCTGTCTGTGTGTGTGTGTGTGTGTGTGTGTGTGTGTGTGTGTGTGTGTTACGCTTCTCCACCACTTAAGAAATTTACAACCATTGAAATATCACAGGAAACAACAACAACAACAACAACAACAGCTACAACCAACAACAACAACAGCTACAACCAACAACAACCAGGTCTCTTTACAACCCGTCCGTAATTCTTGCTGTTGAGTCTCCCACAGCCTCAATGGGTTTAATGCCACCTAAAATGTCAAGTCACTTATATACAAAATGTAATGTGGCTTTTTTTTGTAATTTTCATAATCTAAATATATATATAAGAGAAAGCTATTTGGTTTGGGGTTAGGTTGGGTTTGGTTACGTGTATTTGTGGTAATAGTTTAGCTTGCATATACACCTCGACCAACCCAACTAACCACCAACAAACAAACAACCAAACCAACCAACCAAAACCAACCAACCAAACCAACCACCAACCAAAACCAACCAAACCAACCAAAAACCAACCAACCAAACCAACCACCAACCAAAAACCAACCAACCAACCAAACCAACCACCATTCCTCTACCTCCACGACCCCCATAGAGAGAGACCCTGGACATCAAAAGGGGGCGCTGGGGAGGGGGGGCTGGGGAGGTGGAACCTGGATTTACCTGGAAAAAATTAATAATAATCCTGGTATATTTATTTTTATTTTTATTATTTATTTGTTTGATTTAATTCATTTTATTTATTTGTTTTATTTTTTCTGTTGATTTATTTTATTTACTTTATTTATTTTTTTCGACTGGATAGACTAATTGAAGATGACGTTACAATTTGAGGGTGGATGTTTAATTATCTTGGTGTGTGTGTGTGTGTGTGTGTGTGTGTGTGTGTGTGTGTGTGTGTGTGTGTGTGTTTTCCATAAACTCTCTCTCTCTCTCTCTCTCTCTCTCTCTCTCTCTCTCTCTCTCTCTCTCTCTCTCTCTCTCTCTCTCTCTCTCTCTCTTCTCTCTCTCTTTTCTCTCTCTCTCTCCTCCTTAATGAGGGTTGGGCAGGAGGCTGAAGTGGAATGGGGGAGGGGTGTGCATACAAGGGTGGTAGAGGCAGTCAAGGAGTTAGCAGGGCCAGTCAAGTGATGCACATATATACATACACACACACACATACATACACACACACACACACAGAATCGATCTAGGCTACGCATCTGTGGACATGTCATTTATTTTCCACGTTTCCGCAAGTTAAATTAGGACATGTGTAAAGGTGAAACGAATCAGTAATATTAATGCTATATACGGTACAGTTTATCCATAATACGGTACACTATCCGTAATACGGTACAGTTTATTCATAATACGGTACACTATCCATAAAACGGTACACTATCCATAATACGGTACAATTTATCCATAATACGGTACAATTTATCTATATAGGTACAATTTATCTATAATGCGGTACAGTTTATCCATAATGCGGTACAGTTTATCCATAATGCGGTACAGTTTAACCATAATGCGGTACAGTTTATCCATAATGCGGTACAGTTTATCCATAATGCGGTACAGTTTATCCATAATGCGGTACAGTTTATCCATAATACGGTATAATTTATCCATATTACGGTACACTATCCATAATACGGTACAATTTATCCATGAACAAACTCTCGTATTTTTTGTTTAATTTACCTTGATTTTCGTATCAATTTCCCTCCTCCTAAGTCCTCTCTGGTGTGTGTGTGTGTGTGTGTGTGTGTGTGTGTGTGTGTGTGTGTGTGTGTGTGTGTGTGACAGGATCCACCCTAGCTGCTCGAGCCATCTTTATCTTTAGCTGGAGATGGCTACACACTTGAGCCATTGTCTGAGATGGAACTTATGACTGACTGGTGTATGTGTTTGTATGACTGTGTATGACTGTATGTGTGTTTGTATGACTGTATGTGTGTTTGTATGACTGTGTGTATGACTGTATGTGTGTTTGTATGACTGTGTGTATGACTGTATGTGTGTTTGTTTGACTGTGTGTATGACTGTATGTGTGTTTGTATGACTGTCTGTGTGTATGACTGTATGTGTGTTTGTATGACTGTGTATGTGTGTGTGTATATGACTGTCTCTGTATTTAGTATGTTTGTATGACTGCATTTGTGTATGAATGAAAGCATACATACGCCTATACATATTTTAACCTAACCTAACCTAACCTAACCTAACCTAAAGAGTATTTGTATGTATGTATAGTCTAGTATAGTATGTATTTAAATTAATGCATACATGTATAGCCTAATTAACTGGCACATGTATACACAAATAATACAAGGAGCTGTGTTGGTTAGTTTCCAGTGGTGCCGCAGCTGTGACTGTTGCAACGGTCTTGTCTACAGCTGCAGTGCCCGGGAGGGTACAGCTGTCACTCATTACTGCAGTGGCTCCCTAACAGCATCAGTGTTTGTTTGTTTGTTTGTTCGTTTGTTCTCTCCGTCAAGTAACCTTCCTCAAGTTATCTACCCTCAAGTAACCTACCCTCAAGTTACCTACCCTCATGTTACCAACCCTCAAGTAACCTACCCTCAAGTAACCTACCCTCATGTTACCAACCTCAAGTAACCTACCCTCATGTTACAACCCTCAAGTAACTCCCTCATGTTACCAACCCTCAAGTAACCTACCCTCATGTTACCAACCCTCAGTAACCTACCCTCATGTTACCTACCCTCAAGCAACCTACCCGCAAGTTATTCGAGGTTGTGTGTTCGTTATTGAGGTTTTATGTGTTCGTTATTCTGGCCTCTTGTGTTGATGACCCCCTTGATGCAGTGAGGCAACGGTTGGGGCCTCAGAGAAGACTAAAGTTCGTTAATTCCTCCTCTCCTCCCCCTTCCCCCTCCACCTCCCCCCCCACACAGATAATGGGACCTACAGACTGGGTATTATTTTTGCTCTATTTTCCTGATGCAAGATGTGTAATTCCTGTCTCTGCTTTTTGGGGACTGTTGCATATTGCACGTATGCACACACACACACACACACACACACACACATATATATATATAAACACGCGCGTGCAACAGAATCATCTGCAATATGTCATTTATTTTCGAGATGAGATTTCTAATGTAAGATGAGTTCTTTGTTCATCATTGTGTATTGTCCATTGTTCTTTCACACACACACACACACACACACACACACACACACACACACACACACACACACACCCACACACACACACACACACACACACACACACACACACAGAGCTGACTTTAATCATCAATTTTCCTGCAACAAGATGTGGCCATTGTCTTTTCCTCTGTTCTAGTAAAAAAAAAATGAATCTTATTTTATAAACTCAAGAGACCTCAAGCTGCAAGAATTGTGTTGTGTTTACGTGTTGTGTTTACGTGTTGTGTTTACGTGTAGGTTTAACGTGTTGTGTTTACTTGAGTCATGTTTATATCCGTGTTGGCAAGTAAGAGTGTTTGGTAATGTTGTTGTTGTTGAGTTTAATGACTATTGGGTCGCTTCCTTCTGCTTCACCCCGTCAAGTCAGAGGCATTAAATCACACAGAAGGCAATTGCCATAAGATACTGTTCTGTAATCACCATCACACATCATTAGATATCACTACGCATCATTAGACAACACTAGACATCATTAGACATCTACTAGACATCATTAGACATCACTAGACATCATTAGAGTTTTCATTGTGTTATTTAAGGTAACTGTAATCACCGGTAGTTGGTTATTGTGGTAGTTTATGGGTAATCGTGGGGTCTTGATGCCAGCTCATGGGTAATCGTGGGCTCTTGGTGACAGCCCATGGGCAATTATGGGCTGCGGGTGTCAAAATATAGTATTTCAGCACTGGACCTCTTCCCTCAAGGACGTTATATTACCTAACCAAACCTAACATAACCTGGTGGGGGAGGGAGGAGGGGGGGTTGATACTCCCATCCACAGTGACGGTGAAGGAGGAGGAGGAGAAGGAGGCCACACATCCTGGTGGTGCAGGACGGGCGGAGGGTTTATCATCTTCACCAAGTGTGGCTAAAACGTGGCAGCCGCGTCAGGATAAAAGTAAAAGGCAAACTGCTGCTGCTGGTGGTGCTGCTGGTGGTCATGCCGTCCACTGATGCAGCACTCGATCCTACCAACCGAGTTCCCATGTTTGTTTTGCTA